TTCGAGCTGGTATGCATGTACACACCGCGTGCATCCAGAATTATTCCCACGGTGTCTGAGGACGAAGGAGGATCTGAATGTATGCCGCTCCTGCTCATGCTGCTGCTCCAGGTGCTTCGTGGCATTTTGTAGACTTGACATGTGAGTTACATGACGGTCAGCACGCTCTAAGGGTTAATCGCACATGTATGGTATTCAATTCTTTTCGGGCCGTCTGACGGGTTCGGGCGGAACTTCATTTTGAAAACGCTGGGACGTTTGCAGCATATGTTGGGTTCCGAGGGTTGCCAATATCTCACGGTGTCAGTGGCTTTGGGAACGATAACCCAGCATATTTCACAACAGAGTCGTAATCGGCGGAGGCGGCGGCGGAGGAGGAGGAGGAGGAGGGACGATGATTGGAAAAAGAAAGAGGGGAAAGGACGATGAGGAGGAGGAGATGGAGGTGGAGGAGAGATGAGAAGGAATATCAGCGATGTGGAGGAAAGCGTTAATAGTGAGGAACGGGGAGGAGGGACGAGGCGAAGGGGGGGGGGCGAGGCAGAGGAAGAGGTGCGATGAGGAGGAGGAGGGGGAGGAGGAGGACGGAGGAGGAGGAGGAGGAGGAGGAGGAGGAGGAGGGGGAGGAGGAGGAGGAGGAAGGAGGATAGGAGGAGGAGGAGGAGAGGAGGAGCCGGGGGGGGGGATGAGGAGGCAGGACCAGAGCTGACCCAAACTGTGTGATCGATGCTGCAGTACGCCCTTCCGCCCCAGGTTCCTCCCGAAGTCCCCGCAGGCCTCTCCTGGCGACACATTCTGAGGATGCTGCAAGTGATAGCCCCGGTTTGACACAAAGCCGCCCTCAATCCGTGCAGTTGTTGAATGTGTTGACGCGTCTTGTACGTTAACGCCTGGAAATATCAAAGCGAGATGCCCAATGTGGCAAGGAGCCGCCCTCCATTCGTCTAATGGTTGCAAGCTTTTAGGACGAATATGCGCGGCTCAAAGGCGATAACCTCATTTTGAAAACGACCCGTGCTTTGTCATCCTTGTAGCGGTTGCAATTTGTTAAGTCGAATGTGCGCGGCGCTAGCGATAGCTCCATGTTGAAAACGTGTTCCCTCCGTACAACCGTTACAGGTGCAAGTTTCCGGGACAGTGGTGAGGAGGTCTCAGGCGAAACGTCTGGCCCGCCCCACGCGGCAGGGAGGGATGAGAAATAAGAAAGGGTGGAGATGGAAGAATAATACGTCGGTTCAGGAGGAGAAGAAGGAGCAGAGGGAAGGTGGAACGAGGACAAGGAGGAAGAGGAGGAGGTGGTGGAGGAGGAGGAGGCAGCAGGGCAATTCGTCGTCGTCTGCCCGCGGCTGACTCAGGCGGCGGTGCAAGGAGTCTCGGAGGAGAGAGCACGAGCTGCAAAATTTGCGCGTCTGCAGCTGCATGATCGACGCCCTGGTGGAGGGCAAGCAGGCGGCCTGGGCGGGGGGAGAAAGACAGGGGAAGGAGGAGGAGGTGGATGGAGGGGGAGCAGGGGGAGGAGGAGGAGGAGGAGGAGGAGGAGCAGGAGCACCTCCCCTTCCTCCCTCAGGAGGATGATGATGATGATGATGATGATGATGATGATGATGATGATGATGATGATGATGATGATGATGAGAAGGAGGAGGAGGAGGAGGAGGAGGAGGAGGAGGAGGAGGAGGAGGAGGAGGAGCAGGAGCAGGAGAGGAAAGAAAAAGGAAAGGAGAAGGAACTCCGACCTCCGACGCATGGGCAAAATCATGAGCGTGCGCTTGCGTATGTCCTCGCTCTTTGACTGAGTGTGGCCGCGCGCCTCCCACTCTTCTAGCCGCGACGCCAAAAAGTGCGTGTCCTTGCCCGCCAGGCTCATCCTGCCGTCCGAGCTCTCGCGACACACACACACACACACACACACACACACACACACACACACACACACACACACACACACACACACACACACACACACACACACACACACACACACACACACACACACACACACAAACACACACACACACTTATCCTCTGACGCGGCGACGGGGTGCAATCGCCTGGACGCATTGGTGCGGGACGCGCTGGCAGCGAATTGGCCTCCCCGTGTGGTGCTTCACATGCGCAGGCACCCCTGGCCTCAAGGAGCGTCAAGCCTGAGCCAGGCGGGCGCAGGATCGGACGCTGGAGAGAGGCACGAGGGCAGGGGAGAGGAGCAGAGGAGCGGAGGACGGGGAGGAGCTGGACGGCATGCCAGAGGAGGCGCGGCAGCCAACAGAGGGCCCGGCAGGCGAGCGGCGAAGAGAAGGACGAGAGGCCCAAGGCCGGTCAAGGATGCGCCTACGGAGAAGGCCGCGAGCGGCAAGACGGGCCCGTCCGCGCTCGGCGCAGCGGCGCGCCTCCTCCTTGATTTTTCATGTTATTCTCAGCAGCCAGGGCACAGGCATCTTGCTGCTGTGCATTCAGTGCGCGGGCCTCCGGGGGGGTTCCTTGGGGCCATCTTGGAGGAGATCGATCAAACGAGAGGGGAGCTCCAATTAGCGCCCCCCCCCAAGAGGCCCAAATGGGGCCAAAACCTTTGTAAAACCAATGATTTTGGCTTCCTCGCCGAGGCCGTTTTGGACGCTCCAATGGGTCGCGGCACCGCCCGTCTAGGCCCAGGGGAGCGGGTAGGGGAAAACCCTTCCCCGAAGGGGAAGAAGGGGGGTGGAAGATGAAACTCCCTAAACCGCCTACGCCCAGAGGGCTGGATTCCTTCGTCGCTGTATCATGCAACGCTATTGAACTGTGCGCGCGTTATTATGGACCATATCTTTTTCGCCCCCCAGCAGCGTCGCGATTCGCGCCGGCACCGTCTAGGAATGGCTATAACAGCGACGGGCAGCCAGGGAATTTCTGAGAATGGGTGGGAGCAGCTATGAGTGGCAGCAAATCTGGGAGGAGCTGGAGATAAGACTGAACAAGGAGGCATGAAACTGCCAGGAATAGCCAACCGTAGTTTAGGATATTGCTGAGAGTAGTTGCAAGCAGCCAGTGAAATTGGGAGTAGCCAGGTACTGCTCAGACGAGCAGGGCGAAATCAGGAACTGCTACGGACAGCCAGTCATAGGTGAGGGATTTGTGGAGGGTAACAACGATTAGCCACTCTCGCATGCACGCCTTTGCACACCTGACGACGCACGCTCAAGTGCGCCACAACCACAGGCCCGTACACATCATAAACACACGGCCTGCGTGTACCACCACCGCAGGGTTTCGTACACCACATGCGTGTAACGCGCAAGGCCCGCGCTCATTTCGGCGGCGCGCCCGGGGGGGAAGTGAGAGGGGGCGGGCCCTCTCAGAAGGCTCGGAAGTCCCCCAGCCTTCTGAGAAGTTGTCTAGTCTAAGCCTCTCCTGGAGACGCAGAAAAAGTCAGAAAGCCTCTCAGAAGGCGCGAGGGCTCCTCAGAAGTCCCGCCGCCTTCCAAGACGGCCTTCTCCTTCTCACTTCCCCGCTTCGCCCGCCGACGACAACATTGCCACGTGCCCGTGCACACGCCCAGGCCGGTGCTCAACACAGCCTCCTGCGTGCACTCAGGCCTTCGTGCACCGCAGGCGCACGCCGCGTGGGCCGCGGCCCAGGCGCTCTGGGAGGGGCCGCCCGGGCAGATGTCCTGCGCCCCCATCGTGGGCTGTTGGAGTGGGACTCGAGGCTCGAGAACCTCCCAAACCGCCTTTAAGCAAATCCTTCTGTTTCAGATCCTGCTTCCTCGCGATTCCCCCCCCCCCCTCTCCTCCTCCCCCTCCTCCTCTTCCCTCCTTTTCTCCTTGTTCCTGTTTCTGTCCGCCAGTCTCTTCCTCCTTCTGCTCGTCCCCTTCCCCCTCCCGCTCCTCCGTATCCTCCTCCTCTCCATCCTCTTCCTCTCCCTCATTCCTCTTCTTCCTCTTCCTCCCATTCATCGCCTTCCTCCTCATCATGTTTGCCTCCCTCTTCTTCTCCATGTTCCTATTATTCGTTCTCCCTCATCCATCTCCTCCTCCATCTCCTCCTCCTCCTCCTCCTCCTCCTCCTCGGCCCGGAGGTGGAAGACGCGGTCGGGATCTTCCAGCAGTGGAAGTCGAGGGCGAACGGAAACACGGTCATCTATTCGACGCTGATCAAGGGCTTCGCCAGGATTCTACCCTTCTTCTTTTTTATCCCAACCCTCGGCGGCAAGCGAGGGGGGGGAAGTGATAAGGAGAAGGCCTTCTCGGAAGGCGGCGGGACTTCTCAGACGCCCTCTCGCCTTCAGATAAGTTTGTTGTGTCTTCGGGGAAGGCTTATACAACTTCTCAGAAGGCAGGAGGACTTCCGAGCCTCCTGAGAGGGCCTTCTCCTTCTCGCTTGCCCCCCCCCCCCCCCTCGCTCGCCGCCGAAGCCCCAGTCTCCCGTCCTTGTCGCTCTCCTTCTCGTGCCCCTCCTCCCCTTCCCTCCTGTGCCTCGCAGGTAACTTGAGCTCGAGCACTCTGCCGAGCCTCACCTCGGTGACCCCACGTCGGCGCGTTCCAAAAAGGGCCTTGGCTTCGAGGATAGAAGGAGTTGGTATCTCTTCCTCAGCGGAAGGCGGCGGAAGTAAAACGGCGGCGGCTCCACCGGCGGAAGCTCGGCGGACGTTCGGCGGAAACAGGTGGAAGTACAAGTCGACCTCCTAAGAGATAACAACATTTTTGGGTTCAGGGTCTCCGCAACCCGCCACGTCGGTGCCTGAGGTATTGCGCCCACGCTGCACTCTCTCGTGCGGCTGCTAGCGTTGGTGAAAACCAAAGCCTGGATCAGATGGGTGCCTCTCGCCTCTAGTCTCAGTGCGCTGGGTGCGGTCGCTGCGAGTGTGCGCTTGCCAGCACGGCAACAGGAAGGTTACCCTGCGCAAGTTTCGTCCAGGCTCCGTTGCGGATAACTAGCCGAGTCACATCCACCAGAGTGCACTGGCAGGGGGCAAGGCTCAGACTTTGAAGCTTACGGACTTCCCTTCCCTGCTCAGCGTGGCAATGCAAGGGAACAAGGACACGAAACTGAAGGCTGTCCTTGAGGCGCATGTGAGAAAGTCTGCTGCGCCCGCGCCGTCGGAGGTCCCCGCCGAGGTATTGAAGCGCCCAGCGGGCGCGTGGAAGGGTGCGTGCCGCAAGCACGAAAGTGCGGGAGCCGACGTGGTGAAGCTCCAGGTGAGCCTCGAGCACGGCCATGGGCAAGAGCGCGCGCGGAGCTCCACAAGGCAAGGGTGCAGTAGCCGCGGGCAGCCAGCCGCACTGACCATTTCAACAGCAGGGCGTTGTCGGTCCGACGCAAGGCGTGGACGGCGCAATGGTCGCAGGGCAGCCAGCCGTAGGGGGACACAGGCAAACATGACTCGCTCATGCTTTTGTTGCGGGTTCAACATGTTTTGGAGATGAGGTGTGGCGGTTCTCGTGTGCAGTCGACGCGCATGGTAGGGATGCTCGTCTCGCTCCCGAACGGGCGGAGCGTAGATCCAGTACGGTAGGTTTGCGTCGTGTCGACCGGCGGCGACCCCAGCGCGAGCGTTCAAGGTTGAACGCCGCCGGCGACCCAGAATCGATCGATGTTGAACGATCGGACGTTGCGGCAGCGGCTGATCGTTCAAGGTTGAACGATCCCTGCGGTGTCAAAAACCAACGCTGGGGTCGGCACGACACGAACCTGCCGTATAGAGGGCCCAGTCGCCCCGGGCGGAGCCGAGCGACTCGCCCACAACGACCGGCCCCGGGGCGGCCGCGCGGGCCACGGCGGCGGCGGCCCTGGCCGGCGAGCCGGCCGCCGCGGCGGCAGCGGCGCGAGCGGCAGCCTCGGCCAAGGGTACCCTTGCATCCTTCCCCCTTTCGCCACCTTCGTTGGCCACGCCCCGCTCGAGAAGCTTCGAGATGGCCTTCAAGGCCCGGGCCGGGCGAAAGGGGGGGATTGGGAAAGGGGGGGTTACGAAATCTGCTGCATGCAGCTGGTTTCTGCCCCGCCGCCGGGCCCATTCCTCGATACATAGCCGCCTCCGGCGCCGGGAGGCGCCGGGAAAATCAGCTACGAGAGCTGATTCTCAAACCCCCCCTTTGCTATCCCCCCCTTTCGCCCGACCCGACTTACGTCCTTGTCGTGCGTCCTCATGATACGGGTTGACTGCAAGATCACTCTCGATTTTACGGGAGCGGTCGAGGCTGATATCGCCGAGTCTGGCACCACGACATGGGCGAATAGGGCCCTCGGGGTCGGGCGTTCGCTTGTGCGCCAACGAGGGCGGTCAGTGGGTGCTGGCCGTGGTCAATGGCCACGCCCAGGCGCAGGGCCTCGTCACCAATGCAGCCGCTCGGCCGCGCTGCGCGACAGTGCATCGCCAGCTGGCCGTGTCCTTCTACGCGCGTCCGTCCATGGGCTTCGACAGCATCAACCCAGCCATGTTCCAGAGGCTGGGCGCGCTGTTGGAGCCAATCGAACTGATCGTCAATGCCACGCGGAAGCTCAATATCGGACTGCTCGTCCGATGTCGACGGTCAGGACGGCAGCTCCTTGCACGGTGCTCAGGTACGGTAGGTTCGCGTCGTGTCGACCGGCGGCGACCCCGCCGCCAGCGTTCAACTTTGAATGCCGCCAGCGACTCAGAATCGGTCGATGTTGACCGAGCTCATGCTTCGGCTAGGCCCGATCGTTCAAGGTTGAACGATCCCTGCGGTGTCAGGAATCAACGCCAGGGTCGACACGACGCGAACCTGCCGTATGCTCGGAAGCCGCCAACAGGCTGTGGGCCTTCGCGTTCCCGGGCGCTGGCCGAGGAGCGCGGTCGCCAGCGCAGCAGCGCGAGGGGCAACACGCATGCTGGTATTGCTCTTTTGGGATATCGCTCGACGGCCCCCGATCAGGCCGTTTCCCCCGCCTCCCGCGAAGCTCAGAGCGAGGCAGGTTCTGAAGGCCCTGGTCTCCACACCTTTTTCGACCCCAGTGAGGGCGGTATCCAATCCGAGGAGGGCACGTGGGCCCACGAGTCGTGTTTCAAACCAGCTGTGGATTCGCTTGCATCGGGAGGGCGTCCTGCTGAGCCTTGCGAGCCCTAAAATTGGACTGCCGGTTTTGAGGCTCTCTGCAACGAACCCCCCTTGGCCATACGGAGTCCGTCTCACGACCCCCTGGAAGATTGTACCAGTCCCCCCCCCATTCGAGTGCAGCAAGACCCACACCCACACCCCGACCCCCGACGGACTCACCATCCCTACTTCCCCTCCTCCCCTTCTCTTCGCACGAGGCCGGGCGAGTTGTGCGTCCCCGAGGTTGCCTGGCTGGAGCGCAAGAAGCAAGAGTGGTGCACGCTCGGACAGTCAGTCGTGCTCCCTCTCCGCCTCCTTCCTCCGGCTGAGCGTAGCGTAGCCTCTTGGCTCAACCCGCCTGCTGGTGCGCATGCCTTCTCATCCTCGTGCGCGTCCTGGGCGAGTTCCTCGGGTGATTTGGAGAGACCTTCCTTTACCCTTTGGGAGAGGACCGAAGTTAGGAGGG